ATAGAGCTTCTTCTTATTGGAAAGGCAAACAATGGGAAGTATGGGCAGTGAGAGATGACCGCCCCCCTCCCCAACCTCCCCATTCTTGGAATGGGTGTGGAATGCCTTTGAGTTCCCTAGAGGTGAGGAGAGCATAAGCTAGTGCATGGAAGAGAAGGAAGCATAGTATGTATGCAGATTTGTATATTTATTACAGATTCACCCTGTTCACCAACAAAATGCTACTCATACCAGCAATGAGGTAGATGGTAAGAAACTTTTATGTTTGCCCGTCTTTATATGCAAACTGTCCTGAGTGTCCCTTGCGGGAGAGAGGGCAGTCTAGAATTATTATTATTATTATTATTTTAAGGAAAAAGGGTAATATGTCCTCATGAGACTGGGATATTAATTAGTATCAAAATAGATGTCAGGAAACCACTGTCTGCATTCAACTTACAATTCAATGGACTGGAGTTTGAAGCTCTTGAGCCCAGTTCATTACCTCTTTCTGGTTCCTGGCCAGCATCAGGTTATATTACAAATATTCCCTCCACCGTTCACATGGTTATCTACTCAACTTGGTTTTAGGCAATATAATTCCTCCTTTGTTCCCTAATGACCATAGTTAAAACTGAACTTGTCGCTTCATTGCCATATTCACACATTTCACATTTCTATGAATACACACATACAGCATGCTGTTAAGATCAGCTCCTATGCACTTCACTCCATGCATCTGAGAAAACAGATATAGTCTATGAAAAGCTTATGCTACTAACTTCTTTCTGAAAGTTAGTTTCTCAAGTGCTACAAGATTTCTTTGCACTTCCTTGATGTATTGGATTTGCATATTGCATAAACACCCATTAAATGCAAATAAACACCTCTGGGGTTGGAGAGCTGTAGTATGACACCCCACCGCATATGAATGGATCTGTGAACACACTACAGGGTCCAGAATTAGGCCCAGTTCCCCAAAAGAAAGAGTGCCAGGTGGCTAATTCAAATACAAATGTAAGGTTGTTGGTTAGTGCTACAATTTGTGTTAAGTTATAATATAATGTTATTAGAGTTAAAGAAGAACTTCACTGCAAGAAATAGTTATCTGTAACTAATTGCTTCCAACTCTGCTCACAGCTGGTTATGCGACAGTATGTGCACTCTCCCATTCCATTTCCATCAGTACTCAACTGTGTGAAAAAATAAATGTCTGACCAGGCCTATATAGTAGCTATTGGATGTATGCAACTAGAAACACAGTAAGGATGCAGTTTATTTTGGAACGGATTCTTCTAGTATGTCACATCTGTGTGCTGTTTAGGCCATGCTTCATATTGTTCCAATTTTATGGAGGAGGAACACAATTAAATCCCATTTTAAGTTTTCATGCTAAATTAGTATTTTGAAATTATAATTGCCAAATGATAATGCTTCTTGTTCTTGACCTTTCAAAGACTGTGCTGTAACCATGAAAACATGCTAAATAAAAGCTATAGTTGTCCTAAACATAAGTTTCTCTGGTTAATTCTTTCCGTCCTCATGATGATGGGAAATTAAGCACAGCCTTAATATTTTTTAACATCTGCTTCAAATTAGCTGCTAACAAAACTGCCAACAATTATTTTCTTAAGTGACATTGGAAATTTGAAATGGCTTGGGAAAAGCACATTCAGAACGTGTCCCTGTCTAAGACGACAAAGTGTTTTGGTCAAGCTTCTGATTCAAATATTTCACAAAGTCTGTATAAGGTGAAGGTAGAGTTATCCCAATATCAGTGAGATCAAATTAGTGTTGGATGAATTTAAGATGCTCTTCGTGGTTTCTCACTTTTATGTTCCATCTGATGTAAAAAACAAAACAAAAACCAAGGGTGCATTCAGACTGATGAAAAAGACTAGAAAGTCTCAAATTTTGTTCCTGTTCTTTCTGATATTTTTTGGAGATACACATACATTGTTGTTGTCCAAGAATATTTTTAGTAGGTGCCTGATACAATTAGATATTTTTTTATATCAGCTTGACAGACCCGTTCATTTTAATTCAGTATAAAATCAGGAAGCATAAGACCAAAATATGGAACTTTTCACTCAGTCTGGATGCACTCCAATGGCATTATCTTCCTTTTCTTAATATCAGTGAGAAAACTTGTCTTCTGGCCTATGTAGAGAAATAGGATGTATTCCAACATGTTTTCATTCAGTTTCCTATCACTGTTCCTCATCATGTCTGAATCACTTGATCTCATATGTTATTGCAACTGATCTAATGAGCAAGAATTGAAAATTCAAAATGGTGTTCAGTTCAAAAGAGCTTTAGATTATTGTAAGGGAATGCTTTGTCATCATGTATAATATGAATGTTGGACAACCAAACCGGGATTAAAGCATAGATAAAGGCTTCTTCATCCCAAGTCTATATTCCAATGTTGATTGGGTCTCCATGAGGCTTCTTTTAAAAATCCTGTTAGCTAGGGCTAAGTGGTGAATTTAGTCTGGTACTGCTTCACCACTCCAAAAAACAAAACCAAATATACAATAACTTCAAATAACTCCCTTACAATACACCAGTAGTATTTTATATAATAAAAAACAAGGCAAATTTTAAATAGCAAACAGAGAAAATATAGAAGACAAACTCATACAAATCAATGGTGCACCCATGGCTTGAACATTATGTAGTTCTGACTGTGCTATTAACACAAAGCATTGTGTGAGTTGAAAATGCTGAAAATGAATGTCTGCATAGGACCATTATGCTGTTGAAGCTAGACAAGTCTGAACAAGTAGAAGGGAGTTGTAATGGACACTCTTAAGTACTGACATTGAATATTTCAAAGGGATAGCCATGGCCTATCAAGCATATATTCTGAAAATATGAATCATATCATGTCTACTGAAAAATAAGTCCAATTGAATTATTAGGGACTTACTCTCAAATAAGTATGTTTAGCATTGTAGCCTCTGACACTCTTGGTCCAAAAATAAAATGCTTCATGCTGTATGATAAAAATGATGAATTGCATTTATTCACATAGTTAGCATCTTTAACTCTGTATTATCTTTTTTACTTCCCCTCACTAGAAATGAGATTAATGTGGCCCTGCAGGTTTTACTGGACTACAACTCCAAACAGTCCTAGCCAGCATAGCCAATGATAAGGAATGCAGGGAGTTGAGGTACAACATATCTGAAGGGCCACATTATTCCCAACCTTTCCCCTTCCATTAACAGAATATTATCATAGGAAGCCAGCTGTATTAAGATATCTGCCAAGTTAGCTAGCTGAATTCAAACTAGTAAGGAAGTTGCATATCAAGTCCTAGCTGATTAAGTGTGTGTGTAAGTATCCTATAATACAGTTTTCTGATTTCATACAGACTCTAAATATTACTGTTGTATGGTAGAATATTAGAAAACATTAGAGACCACGTTTCTGGAGAGATGCATGTAGAAGGAGCTGTTGGTGAAATTTTTTTATTGCTGCATAAGTGTCACAGCAGCTGCAATACAGATGCTTTGTCTTATAATTTATGGCTTCTCTTTAGTGGAGAAATCATGACTATAACAGCAAGCACTGTAATATAAACTTCTGCCCTACTCTAAATCCATTGTTCTATTTCCTCTAATGCATTCTTGATCTCCTTGGTTAGAACTGTCCGATATAACATTATTCCCCTATGTAATCAAGTATAAATGCAATTTATTTTAGTATCACCTCTAATCAACTGGGGTAGTAGAAAAACATTCATTTCAGTCTTAGGAATATTTAATCAATAATATATTTGAATTTGTGAATTTAAATTTATTCCAATTCTCATTAAAAAAATGTTTTGGAAATCAATCCAAACCAAAAATATCCAAAGACAAAAGTTAGTGTGCCCTAGTGTTAAAACTGTTGTTGTACCTCTAACTGGGCCCTGGTGGCACAACAGGTCAAATCACTGAGCTGCTGAACTTGCTGACCAAAAAGCTGGGGGTTCGAATCTGGGGAGCGGGGTGAACTCCCGCTGTTAGGCCCAGCTTCTGTCAACCCAGCAGTTTGAAAACATGCAAGTGTGAGTAGATTAATAGGTATCGCGTCTGCAGGAAGGTAACAGCGTTCCATGCAGTCATGCTGGCCACATGACTTTGGCGGCATCTATGGACAACACCAGCTCTTTGGCTTAGAAATGGAGATGAGCAACCCCCCCCCCCCCGAGTCGAACATGACTAGATAATCGCAGAGGAAACCTTTACCTCTAACTATGATGGTTATTTTATAAATACATTTGCTGTGTTTTCATTCCCTTTGTAACTTTGTCTGCCCCTTTTCATGTGATGTCTAAACTGCATTTCTGAATGCACGACTAAAGTTTTTAACATGCTGCAATGCTAGAAATTTGGGGCATGAAGGAAAATTAATGGGAGGGAAAGCAATGCCCTTATTTCCCCTTATTTCTTGAAGCTCTCTTTTTGAGTAAGACCATGTGACATCAATGTACAAAACTGAACTTAAAAAAACATGTTGATGATACTAATTTGCAAAGTAAGGCTTACAAAAAAAAAAGGCTCAATGAGCCTTTGACCATTCATGAGATCTCCCCAATAAAGTTCATATTTAAAAAGGCTTTACTAACTAGAACAAAACAGAGACATAATGATTCATGGGCACTGTGTACTAAAAGCTGTTCCAAAACAAATTTAAAAGTTGAAAATGGGGAGTTATTCTCTAAGGTCCCATAGGGGACTGATGTAGCTCCTCAGTTCTCTGTTCTATAGGAAATAATTGCAGATATCTGAAGTACAGGAGTAAAAATAATGGGTTTTTTTCTAGGTACAAAGAACAAAAAGCACTGTTGTCACAACATCCTGGAACAAATACAAACATATACTCGGAATGACATTTCACCATTGACACTCAGACTATGAGAATGAGCTGACTGGTGGAGAAATGCAAGTTAAGTGCCAAAGCAACGTGAAAATACACCAGAGAATTAACAAGCAGCACATCAAACAGAGCAGTAGTTGAAAGCTTCCCACCTGTGTCTGTTGAGGGATATTTACAAAGCTTGGATCCCGTGGTCCAACACTGACGAATCGGTTTGCAGGGGAGGTGCTGGGTGTCGAGTAGGCTGTGAAGGGAAGGGATACATGCGTTCAGGAAGCAGCACTAGATCACGGACAAACAACATCAAAAAACAACAAAGCCACCTAAACAGATGCTGATGCTGAAACATATAATGGAGTCATGTTGTCAGGACTTGGAACAACTGGATTTTAAATGATGGAGATAATCAATGTGGACATAATTAGGTAAGAGAAAATGGTCTCTCTTTTCAACACAAAGTGAGATGATGTCATACATCTGGACTAAGGCATGTCAACTTCAATAAAAATACTTTTACCTGTGGGACAAGTAATTTATAGCAATCATTTACTCCACTCATTCACAGGAACAAAGATATGATCTTCACTGATGCTAAATTGATTTGCATGCATTTTATGGCAATCAGTTCATTGTTCCAGATCAGAACTCAGGGTATGAATCCAAGGCTGACAAATCCCTCATCATTTTATTATGGATTTGTTCAGTAAAAATGATACAGTAACAGAACATAATGGGGTGCTGTGCATTTGGTAGGTGAAAAACTATATCAATAAGTTGATATTTATATAAAAGCATTGGCCGTGATTAAGTGGCTCCTATGTTACTGAGCAACATGGTCCATTAATTCCATTTGTTCTAGCTAGAAATCTGGAGGATCACCATTAAATGGTATATGAAAAACTAAACTAGAACCCTTCAAAATATACTTGTATTAAGAAAAACCATACTGAGTGGCATAGAGACTTATGCTGGCTAAGGGAGGCAGCAGGCAAATGTATCTTTTTCTTGTTGCCAACAGTTCAGTTTTTGTTTTTTCCTCTCAATTCATTTCAATGGAACATAGCTGTATTATCTCCATGCTGATGTTACTGAATGGCCTAATCCTAGGGAATGAATGGAAATGCTGTCTCTGATCCAGTCTTGGAAGACCTTCCACTGGCAAAACATCACCAGAGCTATGCCTATGGGGTTTTCTGTTGGTATACCAAGGACCTCATCTTTGCCAGGGGAATTCTTTTGTCTAACATAACTCACTTTAATTAGTAGATCTGAAAAACAGGATTGTTTAGAAATAAATGATCTTAATTTTGACCTAGCATTTCTTCACTGTTATTTTTAGACCTTCTCACACTTGAAATGCAAGTGTCCAGTACATTTCTCAGTAGAGTTTTTGCAGACATCAATTCACTGTGCAAAATGAGAACAAGCTATATTTCTTAGAACAATTACAAATCTTAATTTGATTTATATGACAAATTCATTTTTTCCTTTGAAAAAAGTATACATGAGTAAAAAAACCCCCTCTAGTCAATGAAGATCAGGACCTTGTTTGTTGCATCATTTTCTTACTAACAGAATTACTGATATCAGTAAAATAGTGATCAATCATCCTAAATCAATGGACAAAGTCTCAACAAAATCTAGTTTATCTCCCCCACCTCCACAACTCCATAGTTAGGCCACTCTTTTGTTAGATTACTAACACAGAGTAACTGTGAGACTGCCATCAATATGCATGATAGTCAACAAACGATTACTGGAAAAATGGTCAACTATTCGTGTCTTATGAAAGAATTAAATTCCAGTAGGATTATGTGCTAAGGGTATGAAAATCAACACAAACATTGTTGCACTTTTCCAAATATCAAGCAGGAGAAGAAAACACATAAAATATGCCAGCTCTGAGAAACCTTTTCCTCCAATGCCCTACTTCCTTCACTGATTCTATGCTCGCAACCACAACCTCCTAGATTGGTATAATTATGCTGATATAGTACACCAAAAAGATTACAAAATGCTGCTTAGGATCATAACGACCCACCATTTTATCTCAGAAAGATAAACCAACAGATGTATAAGGTAGTTTCCTATGTTCTTACATATACAGGAAAGAAGGATTGTGTGGATCTGAGCAGCACAAGAAAAACAACTGTTGTGAAGAGTGAAAGAACTGGTTGCATTACTATGTTCCTGGACAGTGGTTCCAACCTTTGGTACTACAGGTGTTTGGGACTTCAACTCCCAGAAACCTCAGCCAGCTTGGCCAACTGTCAGGAATTCTGGGTACCAAAATGCAAAAGCGCCTGGAGGATAAAAGGTTGGGAACCTTTAGAAGCATCCAGCAGTTATTCCCAAAAATGTTGGTTCTCCAGTTATTTTGGACCTTGGCTCCTTGGAAACTCTAGCCAGCTTGGGCAATTGTCAGGAATTCTAAGAGCTGAAGTTCAAAACACTTGGAGAACCAAAGTTTGGAAACCACTAGCATATAGCATGAAGTGTTTCCAAGATAGTCCTGAGTTTAACTGCACTACCTAAGAAGTTAATAAACTTGTAACGGCATAAACCAAGTGGAGTGGAGGTGTGGGATAAGCATTCCCCTACTTCCTCTAATGCAGTGGTTTCCAACCTTTTTTTTTTGACAAGGGACCACTTTTTAACATTAGTAACAAAAGGATTATAAATTTGTTTTTGGTCAATTTTAGTTTCAGTTTAGTTATCTGGGGTGCTGATTCAGAAATGTACATTGGATAGACCACGACAGCTCTAGTTTCTGATAAAGATATGCTATCCAGTTGTCTGTTTACCCACAGAAAACCATATTTAATAAGTCTCGGCACTATATGAGGGTTTTATGAGGCCAGTAGCTCTCGTTGCAACAATGTAGAAACAGTGAGGCCATAGACCATACTTTAGTTCTTGTGCACCACTGTGGGTCCATGGACCACAGGTTGGGAACCACTGCTTTAATGCAACTTAGTCTACACTGCTCAAATGCTTTTCTCTATTTATAATTAGGATGGATTTTAAACCAGAGAGGGTCATAATTTGTTCCTGTTCTTTTCAGTATAATTTTGGAGATCCGTACATATTTTTTAATCCCAAAATATATCCTGTTAGCACTTGGTATAATCTGATAAATTTTATACATGTTCCCTCACTCAGTTTATTTTAACAACCAGTATAAAATAAGAAAGAATAGGCACAACACCTGGGGCTTTTTCAATCACTTTAGATGCAACCTCTGCTAAGAAAAAGCAAATGGCAAACAATTCCAGATCATTCATTCCTAATACAGTGACCCGATTAGGAACTGCACTACTTTAGTACATCTGATTATCTACTTTAGTACATCTGCTGTAGTATATCTCAACTGACAATGCCCTCAAAATTGCATCTAGAGAGAAAAAAATCATTCTGGACAGGAATCATCAAAAAGAGAGTGCTGTTTCTTTTGTCACAAGAAAGAAGATATGTACAAATGCATAGTTTGAATAACTATACTGACATAGCTGGTAGTAACATTTAATCCCCTCCAAATGCTTTTACTAAGATGCAAACAAGAAAACCTGACAGAACACATCTGAAAGACAGTAATTTTGGAGGGTAGCAACACCTTCTGGCATAAAGCATGCTGCAAACATTAGAAAATGGGCTTGTGCCAGCAAAGTGCTTTCAGAACCAGAGTGTACATAAAGGAAATGAAAGCTCAGCAGCATTTTACAGATGCAGAAGCAAACGATATTGCTCCAAGAGACAAGAAGCATGCCTGTGGGGGAATAGCCCAGTCTCAAAATCTGCCACCAAAGCTATCAGATCAATCTGCATACCTGATCCCGTCCTCCCTCCCTTTCTACACGATACATCTACTACTACAGCACTACCATGTTGTTGTTCATTCATTTACTACCAATTTGTTGTTATGGGAAGATCCCACCATCAGCTTCCAGGAAGCTTCTCAGGAGACACATCCAGAGCTGCTTGCACTTTTCAAATCTAATTCCAGCTACTCAAGCATGACATTTGGTATGACTTGCAGGGACTTCCCTGAACATACCTCCAATTAATTTGATCTTAAACCAATGTAATTTTGAGTAACAGTAGTGAGTCCAAATTGTAGCTTTTGGACATCCAGTGGAGATAATGGCACACGTATAATTTAATCAAAGAACTAAGAACACAGATTCAGACTGGACATGAAACTGACTAATGCTAGGGTATCACATGTGTAAAAATATTTACTCCCTTTTAAAAACTTGGTCCAATATGAAGCAAACAAACACCCCACATGAGCCATTTGAGTGAGGGATACTCAATAATAATTTCTTTTAAAATAGCAAACCTTCATTTTTAAGTATAGGCATCAAGCTTAGGCAAAAAAATAAGGAGTAAATGTGAATTATCTAACAAAAATTACAGATATGATGTGTTAGTGTACTGTCTAGATCAGGGGTCCTCAAACTAAGGCCCTAGGGTCAGACAGAGCCCTCCAAGGTCATTTACCCAGCCCTCGCTCAGGGTCAACCTATGTCTGAAATGACTTGAAAGCACGCAACAACAATCACATCTCATCAGCCAAAAGCAGGCCCATACTTCCTATTGAAATACTAATAATTTATATTTGTTAAAATTGTTCTTCATTTTAATTATTGTATTGTTTTAAGGTGTTTTTTGCACTACAAATAAGATATATGCAGTGTGCATAGGAATTCATTCATTTTTTTTGCAAATTATCATGTGGCCCCCCAACAGTTTGAGGGACTGTGACATGGCCCTCTCTTTAAAAAGTTTGAGGACCCTGGTCTATATTGTGGGAAATAGCACCACTCTATTCTGTTTTGGTCAGGTCTGACATGAAATACTGCATCCAGTTCTGGGCATCACAATTCAAAGACACTGATAAGTGAGAACATGTCAAGAGAAGGGTGACCAAAATGATTAAAGGTCTGGAAGTCAAGCCCCATAAAACCGGCTGAGGGAGCTGGGTATGCTTAAACATAACTTGGAGAAGAGAAAGTTTAGAAGGGACATGCCTGTCATTTTTAAATATTTGAAAGGATGTTGCAATGAGAGTGGGAATGCTTGTTTTCTGCTTCTCTAGAGACTAGGATACAGAGAAATGATTCAAACTGTAGGAAAAGCCCACTTAAACATTAGGAAGAATTTCATGATAGCAAGAACTGTTCACCAGTGGAATATGCTGCCTGAGAGTGTGGTGGAATCTCCTTCTCTGGAGGTTTTTAAGCAGAGGCTGGACTCGATGGCCATCTGTTGGGGATGCTTTGATTGTGATTTTCCTGCATGACAGGGGGTTAGACTGGATGGTCCTTGAGGTCTCTCCCAATTCTATGATTCTATGAGAAAGGGATAGACACTCAGATGTGCAAAATTATGCACGACCAAAAGAATACTGATGCCAGTTTCAGCATCAGTATTCCTGCATATGTGGGCGTGCCAAGAGTGCATGTCCACATATGCAGTGTCACCTCATTAAAAGTTTGCTTCCACAACCTCGAATTGGATAAAAATTTTCTTCATGACAAAAATGTCTGACCACTTCCAAAGGGGAGTACTAATAGGATTCTAGCCTCTATGTTACCTGCATGAATGATGGATTATCAACCCAGTTGATATCTAGCTCTTTCATGGCAACAACCTTATTGATTTACCCTGTTAATCCTGAGATGGAGCTGTGGATACTGCATGAATGGGCTCTTTCAAAGTGTGGAGAGAAAGAGACCCCTTTTGCAGTGACAGCTGTAGGCAAAGAAAGGTGGGCAGCAGATAACTGATAGCAGATAGCAGAATATTTTAGTTAAAGTACAACATTATCAGGTTTCCTCTTTTTAATGCCCCAAGAAAGGATCAAGTATATTTGGGAATCATTGTGTTGATATCAAATTTAAAAACATTTTTCATAGATTTCAGTGGGAAAGTATATAAAGGTTCAGTATGCCTTAAATGAAATGCTTGGGAACAGAGGTATTTTGAATATTTGTTTAGATTTTGGAATACCTATATTTACATATATGTTCATGATTGGTTATCTCTAAGATGGGATATGAAATTCATTTATGTTTTATATATATATATCCTATACACTTAGCCTGACGGTAATTTTATACATAATATTTGTTATAAGTTAATGCATAAAACAAACCTTTGTACATTGAACCATCAGAAAGCAAAACCCTCACTATCTCAGCAACCAATGTGGATAGCTTTGGATTGTGGAGTATTTTCAATTTTGTAATTCCAGATAAGGGATTCTCAATTTATACCTAGATCCACACTACCAGGGAACTTTACAAATATTTAAGCAAGAAAGCAAATTTAGTAATCTCTCCTTACACTTTTCACAAGAAATCAATTCTATTATTTTATTTTTTGCTGTTTGGCAGCTCTTACGCTCACAAGGAATGTTCTTATTGAATTATTGTTCTACTTCTCAGAGGTATGAAGAAGGGGTTGAGAAAGCCACAAATAATAATATCAGTCCCATTGTTTTCTCCTTTCAGCAGTTGTACTTACTTGGTGAAGTAGGAGAAGCGGCACCTCCTTCTGCTGACGTAGTTGGAGGCTTTGTGTCTGGCACTGGCAGAGGTACAGGCCTGGCCATTGGTGGTGGAGGTGGCGGTGGCAACATTGGAGTAGGAAGGAATGGATTGTGCACCTTGCCTTGGCTGCTACCATTGGGCTGCCAAATACACAAGGAAACAATTAATAACTATTAGTTACCTCTGGTAACAAAATAACAGCACATTGACAGCAGAAGCTTGAAATTGCTCAGGGCTAAAAACACACACGCACACACACACAAAATCCGTAAGAGAGTTGGCTTGGATTGATATAATTTAATATATACATTTTGCATGGCTTGAACCCAAATTTCCTTTTGTGCATGCCTCTCTTTTTCCTCTGCTGTTGAGGCACTGACCCATTGAAAATAGTAGGATACATCCTCTGGCTTGGCTGCAGATGAATGAGACAAGTTGATGTAAATCACACCTTCTGAAACCAGTGAATGAGGAAGCAACTTAGGAGTCAAGCCGTATTATGTTATATATACAAGGATTTTTTTTCTTTTCCAACATTGTGTTTTTACAAGGGCTCAAATGTAAGAATCACTTCTGTCATATTCTTTGATTTCATTTGAGAAATTCTGTTGATCAAGGTGATTTGGGGATTTGCAGTTCAGAATTAACACACGAAGAAGTCAAAACCTCAAGCAACTTTTCTGTTGTTAGATGTTTCAACAAATGAAAGGGCTGGCATCACACCCAACCACTTTTCACCTGAATCCACTGGACAAAAATTCTTTCTAACATTGCATAGACAAATCACAAATCTGATTTTAGGAATGCAACACTAATAATGCTTAAGAGCATTATTTGTTTTATGTATGAGAAGGAAGTGAACTAGGTGCTTCTTGGATTTGTTTGTTCTTTGGTCAAAATGTTTATTTTTGATGAACGTTATGAAACCTATAGGCACTTTGATTAAAAGAAAAGAAAAAAACACCAGAATGCATGTCAAATAAACAGATGCAACAATGGGGGAGGGGTCTAACATGGAGTAAATGGTGTGTGAGCTTTTTCTTTTACTATAATGTGTCTTTTTACCACTTTGCCCATCTATTTTTAATTCTTTCCAGTTTATGACAAAGCACATGATTTGGGATAAGAAAAGCAAATTGCTATTCATAAAAAAACTTTTAATGTCTACAAAAATATTTTAATGATAGTTTGGGTAATAGTTAAAATAATGGCTCAAATATACAGAATTGTATTGGATCAGACCTTTCACTGGGATGCTGTGTGAGAACAAAGAAAGTAGTCATGCAATTCTCTGTATACCTATTCAGAAGTTAAGTTTCCCTAGACCCAATTTCATAAAGGTACAAAGAAATTCCAGAGATATTGCTTTGCTTATGCTACACCCTGTGCAAAGCACTGAAAAGCAGAAGCCTGATAATTGCTACAGAAAGCAGTCCGGCAGGTACTGTTTTAAACAATGTTAATTTCCTTATGCCTGTAGTTGTTTGGGTCCAGCTCCAGGGTCTGGATCTAAAGCATTGGTCATAGTGTCAGATATAGCTTTATCAGACACAGCTAACAAATTGGGTGCTAAAAGCAACCATTTATACTTTCAGGAATGATGCATATCGGAAACATAAAGAGTAAAAACAACAACACCAATCATTATTCTTCAGTTAAGTGCCTTACTGTTTGCAAGATATCTAAGCCTTATTTTTAGATAAAGCTGTAAACAGAGTCAATCATTTCTGCATACAAATGGAATGTTATTCCAATCCCCATGAAGATAATTATTAAAGTTTCTTTGAGAAAAGCAACAACCTGAGGTTGCTCAACCATAATCTTGGAACATTGTTTAATTTTTCAGAGAGATAAGGGGAAGATAACAGCTTTTAGCAATAACAAACCATAAGGAACTACTTTTATCTCCTTGAGTTCAAGTTCTGGTCAACTTAATCTAAAGTGCTATAGGAAAGCCTTTTAAAAAAAAAGTGAATGTGGCTGATCTGAAACAGCTGTCTTTTACTTTCCCGTCTGAAGACATAATTAGTAAAAATTACAAGGTCATCATTTTTAGTTATACATTCCTGTCAAAAAGGATGAAACTGAATAATTTACCTTTCGAATCATGGAAGGTAAAACTAAGAGACTGAGATTGCACTTATATTGTAAGTGATGTTGTCATTTTATTGTTAGATTCCCTATCAACTGTCAGCCTATCATTTGATTATGATTAGATATTACACAAAGTAAATATTGTGACCATACAGTGAGGCTCTTTCTTGTCTTGAAAATATTAGGGCATTTATACACCTACTCTTTTAGGAGCGAGAACCGCATACCCTGCAAACTGAAGAACTTCAGACATTTTCTTCCAGCCATGTAGACTCAATCACCTGCCTAATGTTCCTTCCTTGATATCTGCACACCTCTCTAATAGGCCATTATAAGATGACATGCAGTTGGAAAGTATTCATCATAGTAGGTTACATCACAGTAGCCCCAAAGCACTTTCCCCCCCAATGCCACTTTCTCCACTACCACTCTGGATTTTAGTCCCAGCTTTAAAGGGAGTGCTGAACTTATTTTGGGAAATGGTAGTTCCTTTAAAGTTTTAACTGAACCCCAGAACCACCAATACAAGCTTCTGCTTTTATTTGATTGTGAGCAAGAGAGAACGTCAAAAGAGATCTCCATATAATATTCATAACTTGTTTGTACGTAAATATGATTAAGCATTACATGGATGGCACTTTGACTTATCTCGTTTTAGTGTTTCCATTTTTAATGCATCAGAGTTATGTTGAGAATCTATGTAAACAATAGAATCACATGTCTGTTTTTTTCTTGTCTCATTCCCTTCTTTACACAATTGTATCTTGTGAAACACTTTGTGAGTGATAGCATTACATCTGATGGCCATTATTGGCATGATGTCTTGAGCTTACTTGAAACATTTTCACATAAAACTGTGCTTAGGAAACTACTGTTCAATGACTCACCTGAAAATTATATATTAGCAAATAAAAAATGTGTGATGGGCACAAGCTAGCCAACATCAAGCATATGCAAATCTCATCAATCTAACCCCATTAACAATCAGTAGGTCTTAATTCCCTTAGCACACAATTGGTCAAATGTGTCTTTAATTCATCTCCTCTACCACCAACTCTGTCAACATGATTATTTGATACAGTAATAATAAATCATCTAGGAAATAAAAGAGAAATGGCTTCCTTACATTGAGGAACCCCACCTGTCCAGCCTGCTGACCAGCGTCGGGACAGACAAGTTGGACAAACTCTTTCAGAGTCTCCTGAGGATGATAGCGGATTGCTGGGTGTGAGAAGTATGGCCCAGGTTGTTGAATAATGGGTGATGTTGGAAAATGAAGAGTCGATGGTGTTGCATGTGGACTTGCTATAGGAAAGAAAAACAAAAGACATTATAAGGAATAGAGTTTTGGGTTTGGATACACATATTTAAAATTCATTGTAGCTCTAATTATTTTAATACATCTCCATTTAGAAAGCCCTTTCCCCAAATGTATATTTTGTAAAATACGATGCTCATGCTCCCTGTACTGATTTTCAGAGTACATCAGGTCATATTAAATTCTACAGCATTACAAGTATAGAGGCAGAGCTTAAATGCAGCCAGATTTTAAAATGTCTTTCCTGCATTTTTAGTGGTCATCATTTATAAAGGAGCCAGCAGTTCTTGGTAAAAGTGACGAGCATTCATTACCTTAAGAGCCTTTCTAATGAAACCAGCAATAAAAAATGTATTTGGGAGATTACAGTTGATTTAATTGACATTCTGCATAATTCTGGTTTGCACATGGGGACCCATTTTATTTTGAGCTATAAATGGGCAATAACATAATGATGGTTCTCTTTCAGGCTTTGTTTATGTCACTTTTTCTGTACAGTGGAGGAATATTATTTTTAAGGAATTTGTTTTCATGTAAACCAGCATCCATATTCTATCTTTTATACGTGAGAAATGAAACGTTCCCAGGCAAAATTTTTAGATATCCTATTTTGAGAAGTATAAGGTAGTAACTTCACATGTTAAGGATTCACAGATAAAATCTTAACAGGAAAAGAGATTGGGTTATTGCTGTTAGTGCAGTTGCCTTTAGATATCCCAAGGCAATGAATGAGGCAGTGAAGTACACTGATGCATTTCAGTGATGTCATTTGTTCATGTGAGCAAACTCTTTTAAAACCCTAATACTCTACTTCAATGACCAGGATAATCATAAAAATTAGTAGTCACAGTACAGTTTGCTTAAGTGGATTAAGTGCTCTACAGATGCTGTATTATCCAAGTAGGAGACTACAAATTAATTTCAGCAGATATAGTTTTTTCTTGAAAACACCAATATGGTCTTTTTAAATCCAACATATGTTTAAGCCAATTTAACTACCATAACTGAATCCTTCAGAATTCTGGAAATGTAGTTTGGGGTGGCGCTAGAGGTCCCAAGTAGAAAATTCTTGACACCTTATGAAATTGCAAATCTCAGAATTCGTTAAATATGCATGTGTACTGTGAAAGAGATCTATCCTGCTATCATACGTCATAGCTTGTGGAGAATTTCCACCTAATAAAGATATGGAAGAATGACACTTTTATAATGGCAGTGTGAGGGTGTCATCCTGTGGAAGGCAATTTTACAAGCAGGACTGTTCTTATTTTCATGTTTGGTATACTCAGAGCTTGAGACTGTGGATGCATCTACATTGAAGAATTAATGCAGTTTGGCACCGCTTTAACTGCCATGGTTCAATGCTATGGAATCCTGGAACTTGTAGCTTGATGTGGCACTAGCTGAGCATTAAGACGTGGCCGTTAGAGTGGTGTCAAACTACATTAGTTCAATAGTGTAGATGCATCCTAAGCAACAGTGGTTTGTCTAAGGCTATTCTATGTCTGGACTGTTGGTTCTGAAGTCAGAGGAAATGTGAATCCACTCAGGTTTTCACATGATATTTTTTAAAGCTAGGCAACTGTTTTCCAAAAATATTTCAGCATAATCCTGGAGTGGACTCATCACCCCAGTGAGATTGGAGGAACTAGCTACCCATGTTTCCATCTTGTTTCTGTTCAAGATGAACAGCAATCAGCTTTCTACCTCATTCAACATCTGTTTCAAAAGATCTGGGTGACAATAGCAATGATAAAGCACGTAGATATTGGTTGGCATTGGTAGATGAAATATGATAGAAGGCAATGTATCAAAAAGTCATAGACACTCATTTTTAGTAGTATCATGTGGTAATGTGGTGTTGAGGTACAGACAGTGTTTTGAATTAGCCTTTGCTAATTTTACACAGTACTTATATATAGTTTTATTTTCATTTTCTCCCCAATTTCCCCCCTCTCTACCAAAACTATGAAAACAACCACATCTAAGATAGCATTCCATATTTCAGTTGCTCTGATAACTGGGGAACAAAACTGTGTCCCTGAAAAAATAATATTTCTCTCTGAATTCTGGTTAAATATAATACATATATTCAAAATAAAAGCAATCCTTCGGTAAAGTTATTTGAATTCCATATCACAAATTCATCATTGTTGTACTATAAAGCTGATCATGTCTAGAAAGCGTCTATATTTTGCTGACTTTCTTTCATTTTAGCACACTGAATCACAGAAGAGTATTGGATTTGTACAAAATAGCTTCTCTCATATTACAATTTATTTCTGACTAAAGTATATAGTCATCCTCTCTTGGCCAGCCCTATTAAACTTTTATGGCTATCTACGCCCATATACTGCACTTGTAAACCACAAAGAACTGCTTCGATAAAAGTTATGAAAGTCACGCTGTGTACAGGGAAATATATTGCATTAGTCTTGAAGTATGCTTAATATATTGAAGGAGCAGAATGTATAGACAATCTGGCAATACACAATTTGGCAGTACACAGCAAAGTTGAATGAAGATTGTAAGCCAATATCAAAAGAAGAGCTAAAAATATTCACTTCTGTCTCACTGATACTATAGAGGAAGCTTAATGAAACAAATGCAAAGGTCCCTTTACTTGCCCTTTGTTCCATGCAAGTTGGACTATGAATACTTTTCCATTAATAAATCGTTCATAATAAAGAATGTGGACATCACAGCCAGTAGTTCTGGACCACGCTCCATGCAAAACAACCTTATTTTTTAAAGCCCCACAGACCTTTTTGCTGCAGAAGTAGCCATCTTGGCAGCTTGGTCACTTCCTCATCTCCTTTTGAGTGAATGGCTATAGCAGTTCTCCCCACATCCTGAAACTTTCAGCTATGATGTGCATATGCGAAAATTATATATGTAGAGTGTGATCCTTCTGAAGTACAGGCTCCTGGACATAGATGATCTCCATAGCCACATACTACTGCATCCCATATAATCATTAATACTACACATACTACTGCATCCCATACAATCATTAATCTCAATGGATTAGAAAGCCCGCACAACAAGGAATTTTCCCCATTTTAAAAACCAAAGCATATTTTTATGAGAAAAAGAGAAGCAGCAGTAGAAACACTATCTGTTCTTCATACTGCAGCCTTCTACATTTTGCCTCATGGTGGTTGTTGAATTTTGTTTCAGGGTGGCATATCTAATTTGGCTCTTACTGCCACCCATCCTGAAGATGCTGCGAGGTCATCTAGACCTCTGTTGATTCTGAACTCTGCACCAGGGTTCATTCTTCATTTGGATTGTCTGTGTGTGGAGAGGTAGAAAATTGCTGTTGGGACTTGCTGCCCCCATAGCAGGAGATTCAGGAGTCAACCAGTCCGCCCACCCATGACGAGACGTTGAACTTTGCTTCTGGTTGTTTGGTTCTGATGTTGTTTTATATACTGTTTAATGTTGTTTATTTCATTATATCATTTCTGTTATCATTTTGTTGATATGCATTTTAATGTATTATGTTTTAACTGTTCTATTGGGCTTAGCCCCATGTAAGTCATTCTGAGTTCCTTCAAGGAGATGGAGGCGGGTTATTAAAATAAAATATAATAATAATAATAATAATAATAATAATAATAATAATAATAATAATTACTATTAACCCTGACTTCACTGGAATTATCTTAGCATTGAACAGTGTGCATACCCGTCCCCTCCACACTTGGGCTTTACGTTGTAGTTCCTCATTTTTCAACTTTTCCTCATGCCACTGCTTGTGTCAAACTAGACCAAATGCTGCTTTACTAGACTCTTTTCCTAGGAGATATACAAGCCAAGTTACCCTTTCTACTGTTCAAATATGGGAGGTATCAAAATTTGATAAATTTTACAACTTCTGTACTCTTTAAATGGGTAAATAAGAAGGCTATAGGAGCCTTTAGCTCATTTTTTGTGTTCTACAAACAGCGCCAATCTAGTAATGTGCATAGATTGGGATGGTGACAGGTGATGGAGTATCCATTTCAAATATCTTGCCTAGAGTTGAAATACATACTCCACATGAGGGAAATCCAGATGTGAACAGATGGGTTTGCCATTTTCACATCTAATTGTGATTATGCAAAACTATTGACTACACTTTTAAACTCAATCTGCAAGGAAAATCTTATAGATAACAAAACTGAATGCAGATTTGTAGTGCTGACATGGATAATGTTTATCAAATACCACAGAGTTTCAAAACTTCATTGTCTATAAGGTCCTTATTTTACAATCCTGTCACTAATAAAGAATAAAAATGTGAAACTCTATATGCTATTTGATCCATGTAAGCATTACAGTAATTCTGCAAGATAGGTTAATTTTGATATCTATCGATAAGCTTCGCACTGCAGACTGAGTTTAAAAGTAGAGTCAGCAGCTTTGCATAATCACAATTAGATGTGACAGTGGCAAAGCTGTCTAATGAAATAGATCTCCCTTATTCACACAGGCTAGAATCCAAAGTGTGGTTCTGCTGTAGGACCTCCTTCCATTAGCAGACCCATAGGATAGATGACTGCGGGTCCATCCAGACAGGCCCCAAAACTGGGACCTGTCTCGGTTTTACCGAAGGCATCCAAATGAAACCTCTGGTAGTACTGAATTAATTTGGAAGAAACCAGGGTTTTCATGCTCTGTTCCGAATTAATTAAACACCTGGTAAGATCTGGATCTTACCAGGTATGGGCCTAGTGTGGATTGGGCCCAGAGACCATGCCAAGCAATCCTCGAGCCCAATCCACACAGCTATTTTGGTTTTTCAGGCTTGTTCCCACCTTTGTCTCCTGCTGAATCATTTCCTCATACCAGGAGGGTGCGAGGAAAACCACAATGGCAGCTCAGTAAGTTTTTAAAACTTTTTACAGGTTCTTTGGGGTGGCTTTGTGGTGGCTGCATGCTGCATTTCCCCTCCCACTGGGAAAGCCTGTTTTTTGGGCGTGTGGGGAATTTAACCCATGTC